CCTGGGGGGCGGACCTGGATCCTCCCTGAATGGGCAGCAGCACCCTAAGAAGACTCTGTCGAAGGAGCGCGTGCTCGGGTTGCCTGTGAGGTTGGCAGTATAGGTACCGAAGGAAGGGGGCCAGCATGGTGATATAAGCCTCTTTATCTCTGTAACGCACACACACTGGAGTCAGAAGAACCTCTGAAAATACATCATCTCATAATGTCCAGTTGTCTTCAAAGACAACAACATAACAGGCTACGACAGGAGCCAGTAAGACTTACCTGTCAACAGCTCTCTGGATAAAGTCATCGATCTCGAACAGCAGAGCCGGCCAGCAGTCCTCTCTGTTCTCCAGGGCTGTGACGTACGGGTGAGGGCTGCTCCTGCAATGGACGGGTCAGTGTCCCAGCTCTGATTCCAGTTATGCTCCCAACAAACCACTGAGTCAGTCTATTACAACGAAGACAAACTAAGAAGGCCTAAATCCACCCAGACCTGTCGCCTTCCTCCTCTCACCCCAACCAATCACAGCACATGGCCCCGCCCCGCCTTGAGGCGACTGCTGTTGTGATTTGTTGCTGTATGAATAAAACTGAATTACAAGTTCTCCAAAGAACAAACTGTTAACACTAAAAACTACTGACGGTGTTATTTTAAAGCATCCACCCTTTACTGTTGGCCAAGTGCTACACATCGTCACTTTTGCAGAATGCAGTCACATAAATAGTCCTCCAACATCCGTACTGTTTCCACACAAACTGGACTTATACACCCACTCCCACAGTGACAATCTAAAGGCAAAGTGTCACGTAGCTGCCACCTATGAGGATGAAAACATGCTTAAACTATCGTGTACTCACACGTGCCTCTAACCAGAGTCGAGTTTGAGAGACTAAACGTTAGCACTTCCACACACACTAACGCATCCACTGATACCATTATAGATCCAGCTTTGAATGAAGTGCTGTGTGCCTGTTGAATCATTTTCCAAGTGCAGTAAGCAAGCTCACGTCTGTGCCTGTGACAGCCTGCACTGTGGGCCAGACGTCTACTCCTCCGTGTTTCCAGTCTTCACATGACGTAACCTCTTTGACCACGTGTCACCCTTCAGCACGCCATTTCCAGACCCTGAGTTTTAATACAGCGCCAGCTCGTCAGCCTATCAGAGCACTCCCCACGTTTCAGCACAAAGGAAGCAAACAATCAGGAGTTTCTTCTATTTATTGTGACTCAAAGTCTGTTGGTGTTTCAGAGCACTGGGAGGCAATTTGGACAGGGGAGATCTTTCTGTTGCACCGCTGATTTTTATACGGATGTTCACGAGTGTCTTTGCCTTTGAGGTGAAGTCTGCATTCATCCACAGGACAGATTTTATGCACTAAAAAGAGGAGAGCTCACCATATTGTGACCAAACATCACTTTTAATGTTAAAACCCTGTTGGTTCTTACAGCGGCCCATCACTGCAGCCACAGCACCGTCTGTCACTCTGTCCTCACTCGTGAACAACACCCACAGATACTTAAACGCCTCCAACTTGGGTGCCAGCTCGTCCTTGACCTGGAGTGGCTGCTCCACTGTTTTCAGCTTTGAACCACAGCCTCAGACTTGGAGGTGCTGACTCTCATTCCCAATGTTTCACACGCAGCTGCAGAATTACTCAAAACAGCATCGATAACAACACCCAGCAGGAATAGATCCGACAGTGATGGCAAAACGGACCAAGCTCCAAAAGTCTTGCTGCATTTCCTCACCAAGCTCCTCGTACAGCTGAGTTTTTGCTTCAGCTTCTGCAAGAGTTACACTCATCCTGTCGATATCTGCCAGAAGATAGCCAAGCCTAACAGGACGCTGCAACCTGCTGCTCCTGAACCTCCAATGTCTATCTTCTGGTTCAGGGATTGCCACCAACACATCAAAGTCCCCCAGCAGGACTATGGAGTTGCTAGATGGGGTACCCACCTCACCCAGCAACTCTAAAAAGTACTCTAAACAGCTGTTAGTCACATGTGAACAGATGACTATGGGCACCTGTTCCCAACATGACGGCACAGGGAAGCACCCGTCCTGTCCACCAGGGAAAACGTCTAAATGCTGATCAAATCAGGGAGATACAAACATACCCATTCCCTGCCCCCTCTCACTCTTTACATGTAGTCAGTGTTTTTCAACACGCACTAGTTTGGGATGCTCATGCTCCAAGAGCCAGTTTATAGCTGGGACTCAAGCACCAGGGCCACGACTGCCACCCCACAGAGCACCGGACCCCTACAGCACTTCAAGTGGGTGATGGACCAGTGCTGCCTCTTTGGACTAGCAGTAAACTACAAGCTATGTGTAGCTTGATAGATTACACAAGACAACATGTATGAACACCTCTAGATATTAGACATGAGATACTTACCTGATAGAATACGGACAGGTGAAGTGTGCATCGCTCTGGTCAGCCTGCATCTCCAACAATCGCCGAATGACTTTTATCAACCCTTGAGTGTGTCTGTTGGATATCAGAGTCAGAATAACTGAAAAAACTAACAGTCTGAGCGTTTTCTTTGCTTCAAATGTTTTCAAATAGTTACATTATGCTGCACCACGAGGTCAGCGTCCAGATTAGAGAGCATCCAGGTCTGAACTGTGGAACAGTGACCTTTAACATTTTCATGTTCCAAAGCTATTTTCTTTACTTCATGAGCCCTGATGGAGAGCAATGACATCGTGGATTTATCCTCAGCACAGACTAAGCTGTGACCTCCATGTGTCTAACTCAGTTTGTAGACTGTCAGTCGGGCTCCTGCACTGGAAGCATTGACTCCGTGTTACACACTGGTAGCTGGAAAAGAAGGCGACTGGACTTGATTAAGTTTTAAAGATGTTTCCTTCTTATACAAGGTGGAGAGACCCACATACTCAAACCCTACAGGGCGTTGCCCTCCTTGGAGATGGTCATCGAGCTATTTGTCATGTGCGTCGTCACATGACTATAAACAAAAGCGTAGGTCATTGTCAACACCAAGGGTTAAGGGTTAAACCACTATGAGACCTCACTGCGACCCATCATGTGACCTTTGAGGTCACCTGAGGCGAGGTGTGAGTGGGCCTTTGAAGGGATTTAAAGACTGAATTTGTAACAGTGGACAAACACGGCCTTCTTCATGCCTCTTCTCAGTTCCCAGTGTTAGCATTGTCATGCTAAAGAGAGCCTTCTTTGTCCTGCTGATACACAACCTCGTCCTGCTGAGGTCCGTCTTTCATGTTGTGCCTTTGTGCAGCGGCTGTAACGCTGCATGGATGCAGGTTACAGAGCCTCTGTCAGACTCATTGACAAACAGCTGAGCTTTCTGAGGCAGGATCGTGGCGTCCAATAACTGCGTGTTGCATACCTTGCAGAAGGCAGGAGGTTGAGGACACCACTGAGGATGTAGTCCAGGTCTGCATGGCCCTGGTCCACCAATAACACCAAGGTGTCACAGCACGCTGAACACACCACAGCACAGTCACTGCAGCACTGCTGCCACAAAGCTTCCAGTGCTGGGCCCTGAACGACAACAGTGATGCAGTCAGAGTTTCAGAAGTTTAACAAGACTATCTGTGCCGTTTCCACACATGCACTGAAGCCCTGAATGAAAACGGACACAGACAGAGGTGCAATCTGTCCCACTCAGTTCAGCCACTCAGCACTGATTCAATCCCACAAGGTTTGATTCAATTTGGACTCAGACAGTCAGAAATATTATAACTATGCTCGTTTCTCAGTGCATATCCATATTTTATATCTGTGTATAAAAACAAAGCTGACACTGTGAGATCAGAGGTGTCAGCCTCACAGCAGATGTGTCAAAGTCACTGAGGATAAAACACAGGACCACATGAAGCAGATGTTCCTGCTCTTTTATACTTCATGTAACTAGAGAAATGATCACATGTGACTCTTACAGGAACTCACCTGAGCACAGGACCAGGTGATCTGCCCATCTGACCCTTTTTCCTTTAAGACAGCTGCAACAAGACTTCTCACCGTCTGCAACACAAGAAATCACACTTCTGTACCATGATTCACAATAACAACGAGAGGAAGAGAAACCAACACTACAGAGTGAATGAATGAATGAATGAATGAATGGATGAATGGATGAATGAATGAATGAATGGATGGATGAATGAATGGATGAATGGATGAATGGATGAATGGATGAATGGATGAATGAATGGATGTATGAATGGAATGTGAATGAATGGATGTATGAATGAATGGATGAATGGATGGATGAATGAATGGATGAATGGATGAATGATATGAATGGTATGGATGAATGGATGAATGAATGGATGAATGAATGGATGGATGAATGATGATGGATGGATGGATGGATGAATGGATAATGAATGGATAGATGAAGATGAATGGATGGATGGATATGAATGATGAATGAATGGATGAAGATGAATATGGATTATGAATGGATATGAATGGATGGATGAATGAATGGATGAATGGATGGGAATGAATGGATGAATGGATGAATGAATGAATGATGGATGAATGGATGGATGAATGAATGAATGAATGGATGATGAATGAATGGATGATGAATGGATGAATGAATGAATGAATGAATGAATGATGATGATGATGATGGATGATGGATGGATGAATGAATGAATGGATGAATGGATGAATGAATGAATGAATGAATGAATGAATGAATGGATGGATGAATGAATGGATGAATGAATGAATGAGCCCACAGGGACCTGAGTCTGTGTGTTCAGTAAAACCTGCCTCCCCTCTACATAAACATATTATACACACGAGTGTGAGCGACTCAGAAACCCTCGTGGTTGCCAACAAACATACAAAGTAACTCTGTGTCTTGGATCTTGTTACACTGTAAACTCACCTCCTGTCTCTTTAAAATCCTCCAACAGCTGCACACATGTATCCGTGCACCTTACAGTCATGTTACTCTATCAAATAGTTACGTTACTCTTTACTCTGTCTTATCAGGAGACTTTTTTATGAGTGTTGCTGAATTCCTGTTAATGGTAGAGATTTTCTGCCCGTGTGAGCTGCTAGTTTACCTCTATCAGTAACAAATCACTCGTACCTGTGGAATCTCTGCAGACAAGGGAAGGATCATTTGTATCATTTGGATGGGAGGAGTCACAGAGCAGAGTCCGCCTCTTACCTGGGCTTGTATGACGGGGCTGGGGAACTCGAGCCGCGTCTTTAAACTCTCCATCATGTCACTGGATCACACCTGTGAACATCCAGAAGCTCCATTAGAACAAGAACTAAATGGGGAGTCTTGTGAATCCAAGCTGGGAGCTGGTCCACAGGAGACGGGCCACTGAGAGACAGCTGAAGGCACTGCCTCCTATTCTACCTAGCAACAACAAATAAGGCTGCAGTCTGAGGAGGGAGTGCTCCATCAGTATAACTTTGTACTACAAGCTTTTTAAGAGACGACAGAGGCTGATTATTGGAGACCTCGTCTGTCAGAAGGAGGACTTTAAATCTTGGATTTAACAGGGAGTCAGTGAAGAGGAGCTAATATGTGACAGATATGCTCTCTTTCTACTTCCTGTTGGTACTCGTGCTGCAGCGTTTCAGCTTCACTGGAGGCTTTGAGGCTTTTCATGGCACTTGTGTGATAACACTGACTCACAGTCGTGCAGCTAGAATGACTCTCAGCTTAGTTCACAGACCTACGTGGTTGTTTGTGCACACTGAATGATATATTCTGCTCAAAGACGGCTCCTCACAGCTTCACTGGAGGCCACGATGATGCTGTTTCTAAGAGTTTTAGGGCCGAGCACAACAGCCTCTGTCTGGATTTAGAAGCAGGAAATTAGAGGTCACCAGGTCTTTTAGGTCTCTGTGATCAACAAATCACAACAACAGTCACGTGAAGGCACAGACCACGAAGTACAGAGAAAATCCCACCAACCGCTCAACCCCAATGAGCAAGCCCTCGGCCACAGCAGGAAGGAAAATCTCCCTTTTAGCCGAAACAGACTGGAGGACGGGCAGACGTCTGACCGACTGGTGGAGAGGGAGGGACTCACATGGTGGATACTCACCTCTCACAGACGGTGAGAGGACAAAGACAAAAGTGTCGCCTCATATCAGGCGGCACCTCCAGGGCTGAAAACTGAAACCTGTGCAGAAGTGCCAAAAACTGCAATTCCCCTAACGGCCCCTGGAGCCTGCATCCAAAAGTGAGACAACCCCAACAGCCCCCTATATGAGCACTGTCACAGTTTACAGCTGTAGCTTTTTACCAGGCCTCAAACCTCTGTAAACTCTAGAAGCCTCCTGGATGAAGAGAAGCTCCTCAGACTACATGACCTGGATGACCCCACAGATAAAAGCTCACATGTGTGTATGATGGACTAAAACACACTGTGAGCGCTCAGATGAAGTAGAAAGGTGCTGCTGATGTTCCAGCCCCGTCTCCAGACGCTCACAGTCAGTACAGGCTCTTCTTAGTCGTGCTGCGTACCTTATGAGTGCTGAGGTTTGGCAGGCTTGTGAGAACAGCGTGAGCCAGGACGGGATTCTTTTCTTTGGTCAGTTTGAACAAAAGAAGCAGCACGAGGGGCGGGACCTGCAGAGGGAAACACCCACATCAGCAAACACACCAACCAAACATTAAATGCACTTTGTCAGACCGTACAGAGGCTGCATCACTGACCTGTACGTGCACACGTTTAATGCTGTCGAGCCAAAAACATCACTTTGAATCAACATCACTGCAGTAAATCATCATTTAGGTTTCATAGTGGTTAGCTTCTGGCTTTTCCTGTAACAAAGACCTGCTGCTGCACGTTTAACATGACAAGTACGAGTGAGCAGAGATCTCCAGAGGACTCAAATATGCCAACAACCTTCAACCAGTGCATCCAAACACCAGTGTGTGCAGCACTCTGGGAGCAATTAGGGCAGAAGGTGAATCCTCTGGGGCCCGGTGCACGCTTGAGTAATGAGGGGTAAACTTCACACTTCATCTGCAGCTAGTGACTCCAACACGAGTCCAGAGGGAGGTCTGTCCCCTTAGAGCACTCCCTAACCTCTCCCTTTATACGGCAGCAGATCAGCAGCAATCACACAGCAGTGACAGCTTTTATCTTCCTGCTGATCTGAACCATTTCAAAGTCATGTGTTGGTGCCAAAACACCAGGTTATCAACATGTGTTTCCTGCTCTTAGAAAGACAAACACAAGCTAGCT